AAAAATCCGTTCTATTAAAATTCTTTTTCAAAGTTATGTGTCACCAAAAGTTCTGGTTTTTTCTTATACTTTTGTTTTGTTGTACAGGTGACACTGTTATTCCGTGTTGTAATGTATTAGTGTGTTACCGTTAAAATCGGCCAGCTTTAAAAATGTTCATTTAATTTCTTTTGCGGCTGTTGCCCAGGACGGTTGTCTCCATTCGTTTTCTTGTGTTTTTTATTTCATGTTTTCAACTACGTTCGGCTGATGCTAAAACCACATTGTTAGGGTATTAGTTTGTGATTTGATTCTGGTGAGCATCGTTCGCGCAACCTTTGTTGCCCTTTTATTAATTGTTTTCCTGTTTTTAGGGTGTCATTCCTCATCAGCGTCACTGTGAATAGTGTGGTTTTGTGTTTTGTTCTATACGCAGCGGCAATCATTGTATTCTGTGAGTTTCTTCGTTGTGGTACAGCTAGGTGGTCGCACGTGTGCGGGTTGTAATTATATTGTTCTTACCTACGCCCCCGGCATGGCTCGCGTGGGATGAAATCCACCACTTAGCTTACCATAGGTGAGTTGTGTTTTGTGTATTAAGGCCGACGGGCCTATATACTTTTTGAAGATAAAATAACCTATGTAAGTTCCTGTAAATTGCTAATGTAAAATAAATGACAATGCCAACACAATTGTATTTTAATTAATAATACTCAAACAATTAATGAGCAGTACTGATAGCGCCACATTGTGTTGCCTATCCACTAAGCCGTGAAGGCAAATTTTAATAAGACTTTAAAAGGCCAAACGCGAGCCATCATTTGGTGACCTCGACGTGATTGAGTATTATTAAAACAACAAATAAAAAGAGATTGATTTGTGTTGGTTACTGTTATTTATTGTTCAGTATATTATTGTAGTATTGTAAATTCATTCAACATTCAGCCATCAAGTTCTTCAATCAAAATGGGAGTCAACGACGGATCAATCCCAGCTGAGTTAGTGAAGTTGATCAAAAAGAGAGATTCTGCAAAGAAGTCCATGGATTCAATTAAAGCTTTTGTCGACAAGTATGATCCTGCTACAAAAACACTGAATCAACTTCAAACTAGATTAGACAACCTAATGCAATACATGTCTAAATATGAGTCGATTCAAGATGATATTGAGGACCATGAAGCAGTTACCACTGAAATGCTAGATGACAGAGTCAGTGTTGATGACTTCTTCTGTTCACTCAAAGCTGACGTTTTAGACTTAGTCGAGCGCCAAACCAAGGCACCATCCAATAGTTCAAGAGCAACATCACAACCGATTATTCGTGACTCAATGAAACTTCCGTCCATTCCACCTCCTAAATTCGATGGCGATCTGCAAAACTGGACATCATTCCTTGACGATTTCAATGCCAGGTTCCACCTCAATCAAGGATTGTCTGATGTACAGCGTTTGCAGTTCTTAAAATCCTGTTTGTCTGGTCCTGCAGCAGAGGTAGTGCGTACCATTCCAACAACCGATGCTAATTATCGTATAGCTTATGATGTGCTTGTAGAAAGATATGAAAACAAGTCACTTATTATCCAGTCTCATATACGGTCTTTGTTTCAAACACCGCAAGTGCACAAACCTGCTACCAGTGAATTAAGACAGTTGCATCACCATGTTGTATCTCAAGTGAACGCACTGAAGGCACTTGGACAACCAGTTGAAAAATGGGATGCATGGCTAGTGACATTATTGTGCTGTAGACTAGATCCAACCACCGTAGGAGAATGGCAACTATTACAATCATCTAAGGATCTACCTAAATTTACTGATCTGGAAAAATTCTTAGCCAACCGTGTGTCTGCATATGAGGTCGGTGAAGTAAGCAACCAGTCAACTCAACTCAAACAGTCGTCTACTGGCATTCGTCCAATGCAAAAAAGAGTACTATTAACCAATCAAACCGACAAAGTTCCACTTAAGGAAAAACAATGTTTAATATGTCCAGAGCAACATCGGTTATCAGTGTGTGAAAGTTTCACTAAAATGTCTTTGCCTGAACGCCAAGATTTAGTGTTTAAAAACAGGTTGTGTTATAATTGCTTGTATCCAGGTCATCAAGTCCGTCAGTGTCGTGGTGGTAACTGCAATAAATGTGGAAAACGACACAACACTAAGTTGCATAGTGATGCCCCATTTATCCCTCCTGCCTCAGCGAATGAACAGTCACCATCTACACAAAACCAATCTGTTGTAACGTACGTTGAACATGGTAACAACAATTCTACTGCAAAGAAGCAAATAATATTAGCTACTGCACTGATCAATTTAACAAATGCAGCTGGCCACCAAGTTCAGTGTCGTGCCATCTTAGACTCTGGGTCTCAAGTCTGTCTGATAACAAAGGAGTGCGCATCAAGATTAAATATCAGTCTTGTTAAAAGCTCGCTATCGATAGCAGGTATCGGGTCGGTATCTGCCAAAACAGGCACAATGATAAGTACTACAATGTGTTCAAGACTTAATGACTTTGAAGCATTCATTAACTTCCATGTAATTGATTCGATTACTAACAGCTTGCCCACTCACCGTATTGACATGGAACCACTACATATTCCACACACTATTAGTAGCTGTTTAGCCGACCCTCGTTTCAATGAACCAGCTTCAATTGATATTCTACTTGGTGCAGAGATATTCTATGAATTGCTAATTGGTGAAAGTATGAAGATTAGTCCACTTGTAACACTTCACAACACCAATCTTGGTTGGGTTTTTACTGGATCAACTCAAATCAATAATGTGCAACCACTATCAAAAATCTTTCTTCTACGTCATAGCAATCAGTCAGCTATAGCTCTCATTGCCCAATCATGCTCGAACAACTTATCATCTGAGGCATGGGCTGAAGATCATTTTAAAAATAACGTTTCTCGTGACGATCGTGGTCGCTTTGTGGTAAGATTACCGTTTATTCAAGATCCATCAGTTTTAGGTGATTCAAGATTCATGGCACAGCAACGTTTCTACAATCTAGAACGCAAATTGTTAAAAAACCCTTCACTTGCTTCAGATTACAAGGATTTCATGAATGAGTACCTTGAATTGGGCCACATGGAGAAGGCTCAAGATACTGATTGCCCCACATATTATCTTCCGCATCACTCAGTGTTCAAATCCAACAGTTTAACTACAAAAATGCGTGTAGTCTTTGATGGTTCTGCTACATCTAAATCCGGGCACAGTCTCAACGACATTCTACTATGTGGACCAACTGTGCAACCTGATTTAATTTCTATAATTCTGAGATTTCGAATCCACAAAATTGCTCTTACTGCAGACATAGCCAAAATGTACAGGCAGATACGGGTCTCTCCCGAAGATTGTGATTTTCAAAGAATATGCTATAGAGAAAGTCCTGCTGAACCATTGAAAGACTATAGGCTTTTAACTGTCACTTACGGTACCAGAGCTGCATCATTTCTTGCCACTCGTTGTTTACTTGAGCTAAGTTACAATGTCAAAAATCATGCAGTCCAGCGCGCTATTCAACAAGATTTTTATGTTGACGACTTACTAAGTGGCGGTCAAGACGAAACTGAGTGTTATGAACTTTTTCAAAATTTATCTAATGAACTTGACAAGGCTGGCCTACCCCTTCGCAAGTGGTGCTCAAACTCAAAATCAATTATGTCGAAAATGTCAGTTCCGGAACGAGATCCTACTTATCTGTTGTCTATCAATGAAGAAGATACTGTTAGCACACTAGGTCTCACTTGGCAACCAAGTAATGACTGTTTCAAATTCATTTTTAAGGATTTGTCAAGACCTTTTCACATGACTAAAAGAACACTATTATCCAACATAAACAGTGTTTATGATCCAGTAGGATTCCTAACACCTGCCCTGATTCGAGGAAAAATGTTTATGCAACAGTTATGGTCCTCAAAGTTGAACTGGGATACACCACTGTCCACTGAACTCCAAACCAAGTGGACCAATTTCTATCAAAGTCTCAAGTTCTTGGAGCAGTTATCAATACCGCGTCGCGTTCCATTTGATAATACCACATCAGTCCAACTGCATGGTTTCTGCGATGCATCACAAAATGCTTTTGGTGCTTGTATTTACTTTCGATCAACTACCACATCGCAATGTCAACTATACTGTTCTAAGTCCAGAGTAGCTCCACTGAAGCCCAGCACAATTCCACGATTGGAACTTTGCGGAGCCCTTCTTTTAGCAGAACTGGTCAGCATGGTTATGAGAGAACTAAAACGTATCAAGATTCATTGTAACCCTAGTAATGTAATCTTATGGTCTGATTCATCTATTGTCATATACTGGATCAATAGTGACAAACCACTCAAATCCTATGTCTCCAACAGGATAGCACAAATATTGGATCTAACCCAACCCACACAATGGCGTCATGTACCAACGGCCACCAATCCTGCAGATGTAATTTCCCGTGGATGCTCAGCTGAATCACTTTTGTCAAATGAACTTTGGTGGAACGGTCCCAAGTGGTTGAGCCAGGCTGAGGACCTGTGGCCGTCTAATAATGTCATCCATACTGATTTACCTGAAGTAAGAATAGTTCGTCCAGTTCTTGTAGTGAGTCAGTCATCAGAATGTCAATTCGAAGAAAGATATTCTTCTTGGTCTAGATTGAACCGAATTACCGCATATATTCTAAGATTTTGCCACAATGCTCGCACTAAGTTGATCTCTGACCGGTTATTAAATTCACTAAGTGTAACTGAAATATCCAATGCCGCCACAGTGTTGCTGCGAAAAATGCAGTCCATCTCATTTGCACCAGAAATTGCCGAACTTAAGTCCAGTAGGCCTGTTGGACGTCGTAGTGCGTTGCGTACACTGAACCCATTTATTGACCAGGATGGTCAAGTGCGAGTTGGAGGCAGACTCATCAACGCTGACATTGCATACACCAGCAAATGCCCAATTGTACTACCAGCAAAAGGTACAATCACAAGACTTATCTTTGAATACGAACACAAGCGTTTAATTCATATTGGCCCTCAAGGATTACTGGCAAACATT